TATAAGGCTATGGATGCCAGGGAGCTCATAGGTTATTGCAAACCTTTCCCCTTGGGGTCAGGATTTCTTCTCTTTGGCAGAAAGGAAGTTGCCTGTGAAGAGTTTTGGACACAGAGGGAAAGAGTCTTGGAAAATGAGCTCTTAAAGCATCAGCAAGGACATGTGATTTAGCAAAGAAACCACCCCAGATTTCCATGATTCATTCATTCAACGTGTTTATTGAGCCTCTTCTATATACCTGGTGCAAAGACCTCAGTCCACTGACTGTTTCTTGAGCTCCTACTGTATGCATTGCATTATTTAATCTCTTAAGTCTTTTGTTATTTGTAAACTCTTGGGACTCCTGGCTGGCTCAGTCAGTAGAGCATGTGACTCTTGATTTCGGGGCCAAGAGTTGAAGCCCTACATTGGGCATAGATTTTACTTTAAAAAAAAAAAAAAAAAGTAAATTCTCAGTGCAGTAGTTTTTCTTTACCCTTTATTGCCCAGCAAACGGGGAAAAACCCAGCCATCCTTGTCAATTCGCCATTCTCCCAGTTTCTCTTGAGTCTATTCCCTCCACTTAGAATGTCCTTCATCTGCATAAATCCTCCTCACTTTCTTTCTTTTCTTTTTTGAGATTTTATTTCTTTATTTGACAGAGAGAGAGCGTGTGAGAGCACAAGCAGAGGGAGCGGCAGTGGGAGAGGGAGAAACAGGCTCCCGGATGAACAGGGAGCCCAGCCCATTGCAGGGCTCAATCCGGGGACCCGGTTACCATGTCCCGAGGGGAAGGCAGGCACTTAACAGACTGAGCCACCCAGGCGCCCCAATACTCTTCACATTCAAGGCCCAGTTCAGATGTCCCTTCCTCTGTGAACTTTCCCCAAATGCCTCAAACAAATTTAAAACCTCCTTCTCAGGACTCCTAAGGGTCAGAATAGCCCTTGGCTTCCCTACATAGTGTTGGTTTCTATGTGGAGCTTCTCTCTCCCTGTTCCGTCTGTGCCTCTTCTTACACTCCCTGGTGCCAACTGGAGCACTTAGTAAATTTGTCAAAAATCAGCTACCGCCGCTCTAGGTCAAAATAGGGCCGTGTGTTCCACACTGGAAGGCTCAGGAGGGAGGACCTGAGTGGCTCAGCCCAACTGTCGGTTTTCCGCTGCGGTGGTGATCTCCGGGTCTGATGGTGGAGCCTGCTTGGGATCTCTCCTTCTCCCTCTGCCCTCCTTGCTCATGAGCTCGCTCTCTCTCTCTTTCTCTCTCTCTCTCTTTCTAAAATAAATTTTTAAATTTCTTTTAAATCTTTAAACAAATAAATAAAATAAATAGATAGATAGATAGATGATAGATAGATAGATAGATAGATAGAAAGAAACAAAGAGGGACGCCTGAGTGGCTCACTCCATTAAGCATCTGCCTTCGGCTGGGGTCATGATCCCAGGATCTCGATTCCCGCATGGGGCTCCTTGCTCCACGGAGAGCCTGCTTCTCCCTCTGCCTGCCGCTCCCCCTGTTTGTGTTCTCTCTCTCTCCCTCTCTCTCTCTCTCTGACAAATAAACTATTATTAAAAAAGAAAGGGGAAAGAAAGGAAGAAAGAGAAAACAAAGTTGGGACGCCTGGGTGGCTCAGTTGGTTAAGCAGCTGCCTTCGGCTCAGGTCAGGATCCCAGCGTCCTGGGATCGAGTCCCGCATCGGGCTCCTTGCTCTGCAGGGAGCCTGCTTCTCCCTCTGCCTCTGCCTGCCATTCTGTCTGCCTGTGCTCGCTCTCTCTCCCTCTCTCTCTGACAAATAAATAAAATCTTAAAAAAAAAAAAAAAAAGAGAGAGAAAACAAAGTCTCAGGCTGAGCCAACTCAAAAACGTTCCCTTAGTGCCACCTGCTGGCTGCAGGAGGTAGGACAGCTCCTGATCCAGGCTTTCTCTCCTTGTTCGTGGAGTCTTCTCATTCAACTTTTATTCTTTCATTCATTCATTGTTTCTTTTGTTCATTCTATGCCAGGCTCTGACTACACTGGTGAGCAAGACAAAGTCAGTTCCTGAGCTCAGGGAGTTTAGAACCTAGTGCAGAAAACAGGCTCATAACGGGAGTGTGCTAGGAGCTGTGATCCTGAATGTTTTGAGGAGGAAGGAAGGGGTCTGTTCTGCCTGTTCCTAAGGCTGCCAACCCCAGAGGCCAAGACTGGGGCATGATCTAAGCAGCATGTTGCCCTCTTGACTACCTGGGTTCTCACTTAGGAGCACATCTGTGCCAGGCAGGTCCTCCACATCCCACCCTCCACACACTCCCAGTCACATTTTTTTTTTAAAAAGCTTATTGATCACAGCGAAGAAAAACAGCACACCACACCACAGTATAAACCAGTGTCTCTCTCAGTGCCTCTGAATGGCTGGGTCCTGGAATCCATGTCTTATATTCTTAAGGCCCTAAAATTGGAACCACAATGTTAAAGCTCAGAGAGACCTTCATTCTTTCATTCATTCTTCTGTAAATACTTACTGAGTACTAGTAAGTGCCAGATATGGTTTTAAGCGCTGAGAACATGAGAAGGAACACGAAAGATCATGGTATACACTCTCATGACGTTTATATTCTCCTCAAGGAGATAGGAAACAGAGCAAGTGCACAACTTTTTAATACTCAGTTTTTTTAAAAAACACTCAGTTTTAATAAGTAGTCCTTAGTGTGACTCAAAATACAAAAATATGCACAAGAAAAACCTCCCACTCCTCCTCTAGCCACCTAGTCCCCTCCACAGAGGCAAGCAATGTTATCAGCTCCTTCTGCACCCATCCAGAGATAACATATGTATATACAAGCAAATATATTCTCCCCCCACCTGTATTATACAAATGGTGGTTTTCGACACACGCTGTACTGTGCCTCGGGTTTTTTTCACTTAACGATTTATCTTAAGACATCATTCTATATCCATACACAGATTTCCATCTCTTTTACCGTGGTATGGGATCCCACTGTGAGTATTGCATGACTGAAAATAACACTACGTTGTGATAAATGTTAAGATGCAAACAGAAAATAAGTAGTGAGCTGAATTTTAAAGTAACAAAGGAGATGGTTTTAGAGAAGATAGTCAGGAAAGGAAGTTCGCACTTAGGAAATGACATTGATGCTGAGTCTTTTTTTTTTTTTTAAGATTTTATTTATTTATTTGACAGAGATCACAAGTAGGCAGAGAGGCAGGCAGAGAGAGAGGGGGATGCAGGCTCCCAGCTGAGCAGAGAGCCCGATGCGGGGCTCGATCCCAGGACCCTGAGACCATGACCTGAGCCGAAGGCAGAGGCTTAACCCACTGAGCCACCCAGGCGCCCCAATGCTGAGTCTTAAATATAAGAGGGAATCCGCCAGGGGACCGTGAGGGAGGTGGAGGAATGTGTGCACAAAACAGAGGATTGTCAAGGCAGCCGTGAGCTCGGTTATTGGAGTGACTGGAAACCACTGTGGCCACAACCAGCTGAGCTAGAGGAAGCACAGAACCAGGGAGGAGGGGACCAGGGTAAGGAGCATGGGGTGGGGGGAGGGATTCCAAGTGCAACAGGAAACCAGTGGAGGGCCCAAGAAAGAAATGGGCATTTATATTTGTAAAAACACTTCACTTAGGCAGCTATGTGAAAGGGAGGGATTCGAGGGCAAGCGTGAGCTGGGGAGAGCAACAGCCTGGAGAGAGGGGAGGGCATGAGAAACACTGACAGCGCTGGCCTTATCTTGGCATAGTGTTCAGGGGATTGGATATGGATGGGTGGACCTCCTAAGTCACTGTGCCCAGCTCCCTCCTTTTCCAAGCTGACCAAGCCTAATGCCTGGCTGGCCACAGGTCACAGAGCTCCTTAGTCACAGGTCCAGGCTGAGAATCCAAGGTTTCTGGCTCCCAGGTCAGTGCTCCCATCACTCTAGGAAAGCAGGAGTTGGATAGATTTTTAGGGATATTTTAGGGGATAATTTTAAAATTTAAGGTTAGAAATTTTATCTTTAAATTTCTGTTAACCAGAAATTAGTGTGCTCCCATCACTCTAGGAAAGCAGGAGTTGGATAGATTTTTAGGGATATTTTAGGGGATAATTTTAAAATTTAAGGATAGAAATTTTATCTTTAAATTTCTGTTAACCAGAAATTGGTGTGCTCCCATCACTCTAGGAAAGCAGGAGTTGGATAGAAATTTAGGGATATTTTAGGGGATAATTTTAAAATTTAAGGATAGAAATTTTATCTTTAAATTTCTGTTAACCAGAAATTAGTGGCACATTTGGTTTTTAAAACTGCTTGATGAGGGCGCCCGGGTGGCTCAGTGGGTTGAGCCTCTGCCTTTGGCTCAGGTCATGATCTCAGGGTCCTGGGATTGAGCCCCGCATCAGGCTCTCTGCTCAGCGGAGAGCCTGCTTCCCCTTCTCTTTCTGCCTGCCTGCTGTGATCTCTCTCTCTCCGTCAAATAAATAAATAAAATCTTTAAAAAAAAAATAAAAAACCTGCTTGATGGGGTGTACCTGGGTGGCTTGGTGGGTTGGGCCTCTGCCTTCGCTCCGGTCCTGGTCTGGGATCGAGCCCCGCATCAGGCTCTCCGCTCAACGGGGAGCCTGCTTCCCCCCCCCGCACACCTGCCTCTCTGCCTACTTGTGATCTCTATCAAATAAATAAATAAATAAATAAAATCTTTAAAAAAAAAAAAAACTGCTTGACAATTGAGCCCCGCATCAGGCTCTCCGCTCAACGGGGAGCCTGCTTCCCCCCCCACCACCTGCCTCTCTGCCTACTTGTGATCTCTGTCAAATAAATAAATAAATAAATAAATAAATAAATAAAATCTTTTAAAAAACTGCTTGACAATTTTTTTTTTAAAGATTTTATTTATTTATTTGACAGACAGAGATCAC